AGGGAGGCAGGGAGCCAGCCAACACCAACTGTGTCCTCCACCAGCTCATCCAGAAGCATCTTTCCATGCATGGGGTCAGAGATGCTGTGAAACTGGTAAAATTAGTTTCCTATGCCTTTTATTAAAAGGCAATACAAATTTTATGTAACATATTTTATAAGTGGAGGTCTGGATGTGAATGCATCACCTCAGACAGACAACTGTAAATTAGCCTGAGAGAACCTGCTTTGTGCATTCATATTTCTACAGTAATAAGTACAGCATTTACTGCACCTGCTGTGATTCACAAACATGTTTTTGTTACTAGGTGAGCATTTCTGAGGAGGTGGAGGATCTTTGTCAACTGGACAAGCTAATCGACTTGATTATCCCATGAAGCCCATCCCAGCTGGTGAGGGACATTCAGTGGGTGGCCAAGGGTATCCTGGTGTTGGGTCACAACGAAGGAATCTGTCCCATCTACGCTGATGCAGACGCCAGCACTGACAAAGTCCTCAAGATTGGTAAGCAAATACAAATCTCCCTACAGATGTTCATGTGTACATTTTTGTATTGTACTATTAAATTAACTAACATATTTGGATAACTACAAATATTGTACTTCACTTTTAAGTGGAGTAAAAAAAAAAAGTTTGCCCTGTACTCTAGAGCACTTTTTAGATCTGTTTGGGTAAGAGAAAATGTAAAATGAAAGATTTTAATCTTATTATAATTTTTCATTTAAAAAAAGTTTAAAAATGTTGGTTTATGCTGTCACTTTAAGTTCTTTAAAAATCTCAATCTGCCAAAATTGAAATCAACAGGTCGATGAAAATCAGGCTCAGAAAATTGCAATTCGTGCATTTTTACACATTGGTACAATCACTCTTCAAGAAATCTGGTTTTGAGTTTTCAGCAGAAAATAATATTCTGGTGCTTAATTCAGATGCTTTACTAGTCATGCAACCTAAGATGAAGGATTAAGTTTTTCTGCATGACTTCTTATCTTATGTATGTATCTTTTTTTCTTCTTCTTCTTTTTAAATCTGCCCAGTTTCACCAGATGAAGATTCATGCTGGCCCTCGGTTTGTCTCCTACCTGACGTTCCAGTGTGAGTCCGGTGAGGGGACAGCACCATTTAAAATTTAGTGTATATTTTAACAGTTTAAAAGCATTGCTCTGCTGTTACTTTGGGGCACGTTTAAATACGATTGTCTTTGAAGTGAGCCATCACAATGCAGCTCTCTAACTCATGCTAGTAGACACAATTCTGTGCAGCGTCTTGAGTATTTCTGGACTTAAAACCCGTTGGCCATCTTGCATGCGGACAATGTGGAAGACTAACTCTGCCAGTTAATTTGACAGTTCTAACCAATATCATGAAGGTGTTCCATTGACAATCTATCTCTTGTACTTTGTATTGCTCACATAGTGACATTCATATCACGCATATACTGCAACAAAAGCAACCATGTAAAGATGAAAAACAAAGAAATAGGCATTGAAAAACAGAGGTACAAACACTTCATTAAAAGGGAAGATAGGCATGTGTTGAATAACTGACGTTTGGTCACTTAGAAAACACTACAGTGAGCAGCATTGGCAAAATTTGAGGACAAAGTGCTGTTGACATTTCTACACTGAGGATTATTTCACCTGCTGTGGAGGATGTGCTGCTGCCATCTAGTGACCACAGAAGGTACCTCTGACTAAATGTGCTTGTTTGTCTGTCACCTAATTTTTAAAGTTGATCATTGCGAGTTATGATTAGATGTATAAATAGATGACAAAGTTTATTAATCAGCCATAAGGAGAAAAACCCTCCATCTTTTGGTGGTGAATTTGAAACCTAAGTTTATTCACTCAATATAATATTTGTATATGAACTGACACCTAATTTGGTGTATTTCATTATTAAGGCAGCGAAAAACCCACTAATTTCTCCTGATGACATGTTGGTTAGTCTACATCATCCTGTCTAGTATGTTTGTGGATTGATGTTCACAGCTTACTGATTTAAGAGCTTATTGCACTGGTGTGTATTAAGATGACATGGGCACAGTTATTTGTGATTGTAATGGCACCAAAGAATACCTGCAATTATGTCCTCAGAATTATAGATTTTATTTTTAAGCTTTTATTCAGTGCATTAATGTCATTATTTCAACTCAGTGTCTATGGCATGAATAGCTGTCATTGTCACATGATGACACATGAAAGGCTGTTGGAGAGACATTTGTGAGCTAGTAGCACCAATAAGCTGAAATACCTCCATGAAAAACTGCCTGTTAAGCAGCTTATATCTGAACAGAGAGACAGCAACTAGGCCTGAGACTTTGACGTTTCATTTTGAAGTGACCCAGTTCTGGATTTTGTTTTTTTTTTTGTCTCCAAGTGACTCAGGGCTATCTTGTTTCTCACAGATTTGTGTGAAACTCAAATTGGATCTGGTCCACTTGGTTTGTTATAGAGCTAATTCATATCTAATCTCTGAAGAGACGAAGGGGTTTCAGATTTGGATGTTTATGGTGAAACTTCTGTTCAAGCCAAACTGGATGGAATTTATTGTAACCGAGCAGTGTTTGAGGAAATTATGTAATCTGACTGTCTGGCTATTCTTGTACACATTGAGCATTAAGGCCTATAATGTGAACACAACCTATAACATTGGCCAGAATAGTTTTCGTTGCCCACCAGCAGGTTCTCAGCTATTATTTATTGGAGATGATGTCTTAAATATTTGCTCAAGTTACTCAGTTGAGGAAGTCACTCATATAGCCTCCAACAGGAAGTGACAACACATTATACCACCACAATAATGTATAAATTGGGGAAACTGAGAAGGAAGAAGAATTAAGATTACTTTAAGACAGTAATTATTTAATATTGTAGTCCAAAAAAATTAACTTGCTGTTATGATTGTACTGCAAGTACTTTTTTTTTCTGCATGGGACATCCATTTTTTTACATTTTTTGCTGTAATCTCAGATTGAATTTTCTCTCTAAATGTACAGGCATTTTCATTAGATGATGTAGGTAACTTCAGACAAAGGTTAATGCCACTAGTGTATGGCAAATGATAGTAAAAACATTTACTTTCTCTCACTAGCTTAACCAGTTGTGGTGTATTTTAAGATTTCCTGTATGAAAACATGATTACAGGATTAAAATTAATTGGCTCATATTTGATGCAGAAGCATCAGAAATGTACCAGTTTTGTAATATAGTCTAGCAATTGAAGTTACAATGCATTCAAACTTGCATGTATTAGTTTTATTTGTTTGATCTTTGTTAGACATTCCGCTAATTTTTTTTCAAGCTTTGCTGCCTTCCTGTTTGTTCCTTGTGGCGCCCAAAGTCTGTCAGAGTAGGAACAATAATTGACAAGCTCCCTCCTTCAAGCTGGAGGGTAAAATGTGACTGCTTTTAAATTAGGCTCCATACCATTCTAGTCTCTGAGCTCCTATCTGATGTTTTGCAATGCACACTTAAGGATTGGTTTGGGTTGTTTAATAGCAGTATTGAAGCAAAAAAAGTTGATAAAAGAATATTTGGACTTTTTTTTTTTTTTTTTTACATTCTTTAGATTTTTGCAGTTGAAATGTTGAGGATCTATAAACGTATATTCATCTCTGTCCTGCACTAGTCTTTCTACTTTCACAAAGAACACAAATTAATGGGGAAAAAAGTCGTAGTGATCTGAAAAACAGATGTCTAAAAAAACTTTTTTTTTTTTAAGTTGCCCATGGGGGACTTCACATTGCTGGAAGTGGGGCGAGGAAGATAGAAGACAATACTATAGAGGTTTAATTATCCAGCCATCAGAAATGAAAAGGGAGAGAAGGAGAACTGAGACTAATAATGGAATCACAGGCTTATGTTCTGGGTTTCTCTGTTTCTTTTTCTTTTCTCTTTTCTATCATCTAAAGAACTCATTCTCCAAAACGCACTACTTACCCTTCAATCATCTTCCCATCACCAAGTCCAAAGGGTTCAGAGATGAAGAGGGAGACAAAACTCCGATCTCACTCCTTTGTCCTTTTCATGTGGGAACTGATTGAAAAAATGTATCTAAATGACTTGAGGTAAAAAAAGGAACAACCCAGGGACACTGAATATTGCCTGTTTGATGCACCTGATATTGTAAAATACAATTTTATAATAACACAATGCATCAAATTTGCTTGCTACAGTAGCATTAGTGTAGCTAATGTATTGCCAGTTTTCCACTCACAGGGACTTTTTAGTAATGACATGACACTAAGGAATGTTTTGTCAAATGGAAAGCCTCCATTTCCAGGTTCCTTACTGAAATGTGTCTGTTTTTAATTTAAATCAAATGCTAACTTTTGCATTTAGCACACTGCCAGCTAAACAACAACAAAAATAATCCTAGGGCCATAAATTTCTCTGGGCAGAGTTCAGTGATATGAGTGGGATAGTAGAAGATGCAGCAGAACAGCCTTTACTGTTCTCTTTAGTTTGCAAGGTTTTACCTAAAATCCTTGAACATAAATGACCATAGACTTGTTTTCTGTAGTGAGTCTGAAGTACTTAATTCATTTAATATTTGAAGCCACTAACATTTCCCACGCCCCTACCCTCCGGCTGGAGGTTCAGAAGTGTGAAATACAGGATTTCTAGAATGAAAAAACTCTTTCTTTCCCTCTGCCATCAGACTCCTAAACAGCTGACAGGAGTTTATTACCAGGAAATATGTCATGTAATTCCACCTGTACTGTTTACATTCTCAGTTTGCACATGCATAATTGCACAGTCACTGTTGACTATTGCACATACAGCTCCCATGTAGCATATATTCTCTTATTATATTCTTATATATTTTTATTATATCTCTTCATTTGCTCCTTTAAAGGGCCTCAGATTTTGTGTTATTTATTTATCTACTTTATATTTCACTTTTATTGTGTGGCATTCATGTGGATGGCAAAGTAAGAATTTCATTGTACAGGGAAACGTGCATATGGCTGTGCATATGACAATAAACACTTTGACTTGACTTGACTTGACTTAAATCAACTTCCAGTTTTGGCTGAGGCCTGGCACCCTGTAAATTTCCTCTTGTCTTAACTGGCATTGACCCCAGCCAATCAGATCCTATGCTGCACCCTGCTGATCCTGTATGGACTACTGGGTATTGTCCACTGAAGTAAGGATGATGAGGACAAATCACTTGACTCTTACAGCAAAGATGACAGTCCTTTAATTGGACATTACTCAAGGCCAAAACTCATTTCTTGTTGTTCTTGATGTTAAGAGAATCTCAAGTGCACTCCCCACTAGGCTTCACAGTTTTTGAATCAATTATTAATGGTCAAAGTTATTTATTCATATGCATCTTTGCCAATTACACAGTGCCTAATTAACAATTTCAATAATTGATATTTATTTCTGAAAGGATTCAGTATCTTGGGCTGATGAAAAATGCATGAGCAGGGATGTGGACTAGGTTTTGTTTTTGTTCTGAGAGCCTGATGCTCGGGGCTAATACCAGGCCACTTTGACACCATCTCTTTGAGCTGGTTCTGGCCCTGTGATGTGGATCTAATATGGGCATCTTTCATGGACCCAAAGCGCTTACTCTGTACCATGTGATCTTCATAAAAACTCCTACATACCCATCCTCAGACACGGTTTTTGGTTTTTAATATTGAACTTCAAAGAATAAGCTTCTGTTTCCTTGATGATTTTTCTTTGTGTCTGTAGAATGACAGTATCGTGGCAAACAGTAGAAACTCTTGGTCTTACTAGGGCCTCAGCAGTTACACTTGTACATCTAACTCTGTAGCCTGATGAAATTAAAGTTAAATCACCATTCTAAAGCAAAAACTATCCATCAGCTTTATGATAAACCATATATACTGTATATATATTTTTCTTTTCATAGTGACAGCTGTGGCAATCAATAAAAAATTAACAAAGGCTCCTTTTGCGTTTATTGTGATTCCAGTAGGACGGGAAGTTGGGAACCAGTGAGGCAGACCATTTTGCTATGGGATGATGAAAAGGAAAAATATCACTATTCAGTGAGTTGGAAAGAAACCTGACCCAGTAATGCAATGCAAGCTAACAAAACCAGAACCCGACATCAGACACATTAAAACCCTCCATAAAACGCCATAGTGTTGTGACCACACTGAAACAGTGCTGGTATTAGGGAAACAGGGTGGAATATTGATAGTGGGGCTAAAAAAGGTTTTACAAAAAGCTGGGAATCAGTTGACCTCAGTGACTGGTCTCAGAGAGCCAATAGTCGGGCTGGTGCTTCCCCACTCGCTTTCCCTCCTATACTCTCCAGGACGCAAGAAGTACTGGCATCCTCTGTAATTGGGATGTTCATGGAGCAACACTGGCAGAAGAGATTTCACATGTGTAGAAACATTCATGCAGACCTAGGCAGTCTTCCATGAACTCCATGTTCTGGACCCCAAAGTGAGACCACTCAAAGATCTTCATCCTGTAGTTCTCATTATACTAGGTGAGAAATGAGAGAATATTGTGATAATGCCATTGAAGATAAATATTTGTTCAACTTTTGTAGTATTGCTGCATTCAAGTAGAACAATAGTGATCTGACATAAGCTGGTGGACAAACTTTTTCCCCTTTTGTCTTCACAGAGTTTTTTTTATAGGTCAGTTAGACAGTTATAGGTCAGGTCAACATCCACAGGTACTAACATGAACTAGTGAAATGGTAGGATGGAGCTAAATGATCCTAAATTGGGAACATTACTGCAAACAGTGCAGGTCATTGGTTGAAACTAACAGGTGGCATCAGGAGCAGATGCAGTTGCTGACGCCCACCCAGCGTTGGTAGTCGAGATACTCGGCCTTGTGCAGCATGTACTGGTAACCAGCATAACTGGGCTTCTCATAGGCCACCCAACTTCAGTCTTATTGAGTTGCTTGAGTTTTCACTCATTGGAGATCTTGTAACAAATTAGTTTTTGTGCCTTTGTAGCATTTCTTAGTTTAGCTGCAATGTTTGTTTACCCTTTAAAAGATCAATGTAAGTGATCAGTATATTCAAGTTACATATACAGTGGGTACAGAAAGTATTCAGACCCCCTTAAATTTTTCACTCTTTGTTATATTGCAGCCATATGCTAAAATCATTTAAGTTCATTTTTTT